TAGAGTTTTTCACCAAGTTTAGTCTTTGCATGGGATAGACTTTCCTGCTACTGACTGGGGATGGTAGAAAAATATGCGGAAAATGCAATGGTGAAACATGCTGCAACAGACCTTCCATTCTAGTTGAAGGGGACGAAGAGGCGGATGTACAACATTACTCATTTTATAATAGTCAACCCAACAAACCTGGACCCTCCAGACTAGGCAACTAAACTGTTTGAGGTTTCGGTTTTTGAGATATTAAAGTCAATTTTTTGGCAGAACTACTTTTTTTATAGCTTCCACAATGGCCGTGAATGGTGGCTGTCCACCAACATGCACGTGCTGCAAGACTATAGAATTTTATTTACTTATCCATTAGGTACCTTCACACAAATTGTTAGCTTTATATTTTGTATTTAGTTTGAATAAGCTAATTACCCTGGACTAAATCTATTTCTATAGGTCGCATGAGTGGTTTTTCTATTTTGAGTATTTTCAAGTCTCTTTTTGAGTTTCTTTAATAATCTTAGTTTCAATAAACTGTTTTCTAGAAGTAAAATGGAACGTGTTCACGACGCAGCCATCGTTCTTGAACTAGTCTGTCGTACTTAAATTTGCCACCTGTTTAAAAACGCACCGCAGCGCCCGTGTTCACGTAGGACATAGCGTTATACAGCCTGGTTTTGATGGCTCATTCCTTCATGCTCGCGGTGAGTGTCGGCCCGTTGATGTGGTCACGTGACGCCCTGTTTGTGTCAGTTGCAATTTGTTATCTACAATCGGGCTGTCTTATTGGAGGCGGTAGGAAAGCAAATTTTTATACTTTTGCCAGTATAGGAGCGTCCCAGTTTTATCACCCTAGTAGCCGTCCGGTTTATGGGCGATTCGTAGGCCTATGAAATGTCTTGGGTTGCGATATGTGAACATGGGGTTTATTATACTGTCCTTTTCGGATTTTATACTGCTATAGCGAAACATGGCTCTTGATAAAAAAAACCTCAAAGTCTCAGAGTTTAAATGTACATTACGAATATGTTAATTCATTATAACCCTGTGATGAAAAAAAGACCCAGCTTCGACGTATCGTTCACCCGCAATAATTGGCATTTTGGTGGATTTCCTTAAAAACCCGTAACTAAAATAGTACCTACTCAATTTTTGGGTACTTCTCATAACTTGAGCTTCTCTTGGCCATACGAGAAAGAGAGACCGCGATTAGAGCTCTAAGAATTGTTTGCCTGCCCAAAGTCGATTGCCTCTCGAACACGCGTGCCTTGCAAAAGGTGGTTTATTTCGCCCCTAGGAAAACAAATGTAGAAGGTAGGAAAAAACCAAAGAGTATTGGGGGATGGCGCCCAGATATATGGCGCCGACCCCGTATCGTGCAGCCCTCTCCCTAAACTTGTTAACCGTAGGTACATCTACACCCCTCGTCTTTCTACAAGCATTCATCTACGGGCCCGCATTTACTGCCAGCCAACCAGCCAGCCCTCAGCGGACGAAAGTGAGATTAAAAGCTACAAATAAATTTATAAAAATGCGCCAAAAAGGACAGTCAAAACAATCACAATCCTTTTCTCTATTGCATTCTTACTAGAGAAAGAAAAACACAGAAATGAATTTAAGTTAATTCGTAGAATTTCCCCTTAAAACAGAACAATTACAATTACAAAATTCCTGAGCCGCTTAATACTATACCTAACCTTTGTTTAAATACTTTATTTAAACAATGCTATAACCCATGACCAATTAACAGTGTTTATTACCATATTATCAGAAAAAAGGTTCCCTGCCCTAGGGTTTATAGGTACCTACTCTATCTATACAGTGTGGCCCAATGAAAACAGTCAATGCCAAGGTTGCGTATATTTTAAATTTCAAACAAGAAAAATTTCAACGGCGAGAGATCTGGCGATCTAACTGACTGACCATTAGATATGACCCCTATTTCCCCCCTTCCCCTTTCCAATTAAAATTTTTGGGGTGCAATTCACCCCTTTCTCAGCGTCGAAGTTACGCAAATAATATTATTTAATTTAGATGTCTCTCTCAAAACTAAAATTGACTGTTTTTAGTGGGTGACCATGTACAGGCTAGCAATTTGAAAACTTACCATCCCCCATGTCACAGTAAATAAACGATGTATTTAAAAAAAATCTGCTTCGGTAATTCGGAGGGGGAATCACAATGACATAGTTGGCGACACACCCCCTCCAACCCCCTGCGTCACAGCCACCCCAACTTTTAAATCTTAAATAGTGACCCCCCATGTGTGATACGTCGTTGGAAAGCTCTGAAAAAATGCTTTCCAACCATACCAAATAGCATTACATTTAGGTTAGTAATTATCGTGCAAATCAAAAAGTAAACTAATATGATACATTTTCTAAAATGGTTTCCGTTATTGGTAAGACAGTAGTATAATGTATTCTCAAACTCTTGTCGAACCTTTTCAAATGTTGGTTTTGCCATATTTCGACATTCTTGAATTATTCTGTCTTAGTTCGTAGTTCGTCTATGTTCGCCGGTTGCGTTTTAAATACACCAGATTTCAAATGTATCATATTAGTTTATTTATTGATTTGCACGATAATTACTAACCTAAATGTAATGCTATTTGGTATGGTTGGAAAGCATTTTTCAGAGCTTTCAAACGACGTGTCACACATGGGAGGTTACTATTTAAGATTTAAAAGTTGTGGTGGCTGGGGCGCAAGGGGTTGGAGAGGATGCGTCGCCAACTATGTCATTGTGATTCCCCCTCCAAATTACCGAAACGGATTTTGATTTTTTTAAATATCTCGTTTATTTACTAAGACATATGGGGGGTGGTAAGTTTTCAAATTGCCATCCTGTATATACACGCCTTAGATCATACATATTGATCTAATATACGCCCACATCGAATCCGTTTTTAATCTGGCTACCTAAGATACCTGCTTCCTGTTTATAATTTCGAAAGTACGATAACAATTGTGGAAGTTCCTCATGGTTTGTAATTCTGATTAGAGAAATCACGCAAATGGTGGCAATCAATATTTCAAAGTTAAGGACGAAGGTCGGGGTCAGTTTGCCGCACCTAACGGTCAAGGATAGTTTGAAAATTTACATAGAATCAGCCAGCCGGTCCCTTTTTACAATTCGTCCCTTTCTGGCTGGGTGCTATAGTTAAAGTTATTGTATTGTCTGGAACTGAAGAAGGCAGGTAATAAGTATAACAAAATATACGCAGGACTTATGATTTTTCAATACCTACATAGTAGGTAGGCGCCTATACCTTCTTTGAAAAGGGATTGGCAGTCTTTTTGTTGTGGTCACGTCGGTCGTCGACATCTGCAGAAGTTGTAATCGCTTGTAACATCGCTTCGTATCGTACCTACCTAAATTTTAGGTAGGTAGTCTTTGAAACTATTACACTTAGTGTCGACACAAAAAAATACCTTGTAGGCTCGTATTTTTAAAGTAGGTATGTGTATTTATAATAATATTTTTGAAGACCTTCCTGATTAAATAAGATATCAAGCAAACTCATTATCGATGGACTAAAATCCGTAACACTGAAAACCAGACCTTCCATTTTCCTTTTGAGCGTGTATATACACTCTCTTCCGACACTCCCTTTTCCAACATATCGGAAGAGCTACCAAAATAAAAAATGAAAAGAAGTTTTGGACTTAAGGCGAGTAACTTTAGCGCATTCCTCATGTGAGATCGAAAGGACTTCAGCCCATTTTTGTGTCGCAGATCAGTATTCTGTTAGCCAGTTTTGACTCCACCATTAATGAGATCTTGTCAGTGCCTACCATAATCGCTTTGTCGAGACCTATTTCCGACGTCTCGTCCACCCGCAATTCGCAATTAGGTGGATTTTACTAAAAACCCTCCACAAAATAGTACTGAATTTTTGGGGCACTTCTCATAGCTTGAAAGAGAACAGAAAGAGTTATCGCGATTCGAACTTTTAAGAAACTTTTGACCGACAGAAGTCCGCTATCCCTCGAAGACGCGCGCCTTGCAAAAGGTGATTGATTTTTCCCCCAGGAAAAAAATAAAATTCCGTCACGGCAGGAGTTGTGCGCGTTTACAAGATCTTTCCGAAGACGCCAATTTGAAAAAAATCGCACCAAAACCGTAGGAAAAAAACTTAAAAATCACCACGTTAGTAAAACCCCGCTCGGGGACGGGGCCAGATCAAGTAGCTCCGTTGTAAATTACAGGGCCTCCGTGGTACATTCCTCGTATTTCTACAAGCGTTCTTGTTCGCGCCGTCATTTGCTGCCAGTCAGCCAGCTGGCCGGCCCGTCAAAGTGGGATTACAAGCTATACCATTTCACAAATAAACTTGCAAAACGTTAAAAATGGTTGATAAATTTGATATTTCATTCAGATATTTGATTCTTAAAAATTAATTTAATCTTAAGTTACGAAAAAAAAGCTAAGAGGTGGGCCCCGAGGTTGGAAATTTGTGTTGCATGGGTCGGGGCCCAGTCAACTTTGGAATCCACTGCTATATGCGATATGCTTGTTTTTACTAGAAGCGTCTATAATTCAAATTTTAAAGCAGAATTAAAAGCGAAAGTAAAAAAGGTGGCATTTTGCACCGCGCGCATGCGCGTATTTCATTCTTACTATGAGCAATATGTTTGCCTTTGCTAATGACATTTGTAGTTTTCGATTTTTAGTACATGTGATATGTTTTTCTTTACTAGAAGCATCTATGGTTTCAAACAAATATCTCCATAAATAAGGAATTTGGAACTGCGCAGAATGAGATATGTTTACCTACCTTCGTTGGAAAAAGCGGTAAAAAATCAAAACAAAACTTTACAAAATCTTTGTGATAAACCACCAACTTCTCGAGACGCCATTTGAGATGTTGATATACCGTATTACCATATGGAAAGAGTGTGGCGTTGGAGGTTTTAAAAAACATGCTATACATTGATATGTTCGTTTAGTTTATGGATAACTGTAACATCATTAACAGTAATAATTTTCTGTGTTATATTTATTTATTATATTATATTTCCAATAATATAAGCTGCGTCAGTGGATGTTCGGCCATTTGACTGCTGACGCTAACTACATAGATGAATTGGAACATCCTGTATATATTTAGAAAAGTGGTTACTAGACTTACAAACTTTATTCAACGTCGCAATTTTCAAGGTTAAAATATGTAAATTAAAAAAAGTTTAATGCACACTAATTTTATAAAATATTGATTTATTGTGTGACCACTCTGTATAAGTCGTTCAACACAAACGAGTTCGCATACGATTGCCTACTTTAATAATTCAATGCAAGTAAATCAATACATTCGCCCTTTCAGAAACTCCCCGACATCGTTCTTTTAAATAAAGGCACCTATAAATACATGAAGCAATTTATGAATTCTTATTACTGTGGACGATTGCATCTAGTTTTGACAAGATATTTAAATGGGCTAAATTAAAGTTAGTCCGTTGTCGTTAATTAATTAATAATGAATGAATAAATTTCCCACTTTAATTAAGGATAACGAAAATGTTTTCAGCGCTTACATAACTTCACTTACTTATACCGTTTCGAGCGCACTGTAAAATGTGAGTACGCCCCATTTGAGCGACGAGTTCTCGATAAAATTATTTATATTTTATCAAGTTGCGAGGTTATCTTTAGTAACGTAATTGTGATGCTGCGCGGTAGTCTAAGTGCGTATTTATTACTTTGAGGTAAAAGCGTGTTGGTAATCGTTCGTATTTAGAGCCCTATCGGCGCCCCGCCACTGTCCGACAAATAGGCGTCGTGTTAGTATAATAAAAACGAAATTGAGCAAGAACGCCGGTGCGCACGCGTATCGGCTGGCACCGCGACGCCGTCGTCAGCTGTCATGTAAACCTCGACGCCCAGTCTTAGCAGGTGCACGATGCCTGCAGAAGACTGCCTTCATGGCAGTCTAAGCGCGAGTTTAGTTCATATGTGATGTACGCGTTTCGGCTTTTAAACCCGGACCTTTCGCGACGAGCGTGCAGGGTTGGTTTTTGCGTTCTGGTGTTTTTAACGGCCGTCGAGTATGCGGCGGCGAGCACCAAGAGCGATGCCTCCGACGTCGGCAACGCCGTCGCGAATGTTGGAGAAACCCTTTCGGCACAGGAATCGGTTTCAGTGCCTAGGGTTGCACCGGAGGAATCAACGATAACATCCCCGGAATCGGCGACGTCTGGTGCTCCGCACTCGTCGACCGGCGATAAAATGGAGGAAAAGAAGCCTGCAAAAAGATTCGAATTCATTTCCGTCAATTTTCTAAGGGTGGAAATACCATTCATCATCGCCCTGTGGATTTTCTGTGCCAGTTTAGCGAAAATAGGTTCGTTTGCTTATATTTAATTCAACGTAAGAATGGGGCGCCTGCATCGTTCCCACACGAAACTATGTTCATTTTTAAGTAGTTACAATCCTAATCGATATAGCATAACCGTAACCTAAATATTTTATCTACCGTCTGTCTTGTCTGCCTACAATAACAAACACAAAGCGCCGCGCCGCCAAAGCTCGTGCGTCGACAGATGCTAGAAAACTATTTAAACATTTTCAGCATTGCGCCAATGGTTTGACAAGCATATCTTGAAGGTCGCAAACGGTAGCTTAATCAATACAAGTACCTACTTTTCATAAACCCTTTCCGCGTTTAAAAATATGTCCATGTCGCGCTTTGCGAATTATCAGTTGATGATTTATCGCGTATAAAACTCTAATCTTTCCACGAGTGTGAAATTACTACAAACAACTTTCTTTGTTTACTATACCGAATTAAGATTAGACGCGGAGATTTCAGCACGTCCACGTGGAATCCAACTTTGAAAGAATTACAAACTGACGTATTGGCCAAAGGGTTCCTTTGGGAGTTCTTTTGAAGTACCTACCTACATCATGGTTGATTATTTTGCGGCATGCATCTGTGCCAGTAATAATTTACATTGCGCCATTGTAACGAAACTACGCTCTTAGGTATTAGAAAAAGTTATAGCCAATTTCAATAAGATTTTTATAAGTAAATTTTTGTAATATTACAATATTATTATTAATTTTTCGCAAACTTGATCAAAACAACCAACAGGTAGCGACAAACCAAAACAGCATGCTCAAGCGAGTAAAATGATACAAAAATGAGAACAACACAGTTTAAAGGGAACTTCCGGAAAAGTTCAACTCCTGAAAAGCAGCGAACCATTCTTCTGTCCAATAAAAAACGTTAGCATCTTCAGTAAGGCGAGTCAGAGGTTTAGCAATTGAGGTAAAACCTGCCAGAAATCGTCGGCAATAGGTGCACAGGTCGAGAACACTTCTTACCTGAGATTTATCAACTGGAATTGGTCATTCTTTAACGGCCCGCCTTCTCAGGATCAACAGCAACACCATGGTTCGACACCACATGTCCTAAATATTGAACCTTACTCTGGAAAGTAGGGCATTTTTTGGGGAAAAGGTTTAGAATTGGCCGACCTCTCGCAGATTCTTCATGTGGTCTTCGGAGGTATTGCCCATTACAATGATGTAGTCCATGTAGACTAAACAAGTCTTCCACGATAACTCTCAATTTCTATGAAACGTTCAAACGTCGCGGGTGCGTTATACAAGCCAAACGGCATGATTGTAGAATGCCGTCTTCTCCCGAGCCATTTCAACTTGCCATGTTGCATATAGGTCAACGTTGCAAAGTTTGAACCGAATCGGTCCAAGCATTTTATGTGCCAAGCGGTTTGGGCTAGGGAACTGGAGAAAGGCAACAAAGTAGTAGCATTATTTGTTGACCACGTAAAGCATTTGACTGCGTAGACCATGCTATTCTGTTAAATAAGTTGGAAGTTATGGGCTATGTGTCGCTCTTACGAAACATTTCATGCCCCCCCTGCAGGTACCAGAAAAAACGCCATGTTTCTAACTTCAGGTACCTATACAAATTATTTATTTTATTTATTTTATTTATTTTATTTATTTTATTTATTTTATTTATTTTATTTATTTTATTTATTTTATTTATTTTATTTATTTTATTTATTTTATTTATTTTATTTATTTTATTTATTTTATTTATTTTATTTATTTTATTTATTTTATTTATTTTATTACATTTTCAAATATCCATGCCCCAACCAAGATTCGAACCAGGGACCCTTAGTATCGCAGTCGAGCTTCAACTCCACTGCGCCATAGGTACATATTACGTAACGAGAGTTAAAAGAGATACATTTACCAGAAATGCGAAAGCACGATTTTGAGAGAGTTATATGTATTTCTACATTATGTTTTCTATAAAAATGAAAGACACGTAGTTATCAGGAATCTTGAGGTGGACTCAAAAAAGGATCAGAGAACACACAGTCTACCTTTCTATTTGAAAAAATTAAGTTGTCCTACACTTGACCGTTATGGGATAGTTATGTGGAGACGTGCATAGTATCATTAAATGGGGAGGAATATTTTATATAAATCATTTTTTCATATCCCCACCAATTTCCGCAATAATCGGCTCTCTCACTCAAAATAAATGGGACACCCGTGTATAAATTAATTAAGTGACGTTTAAATATAACATTTACAAACTGCTTTTGTATTATGATATAGATAGTTGAATATTCTCCACACTATTTTTAATTACACAGGGTGCCTTCATAAAGTAGGGCGATAAAAGGTACATTTTTTTAAATGGAACCCCCTGTATTTTAATGCATTCTTAATTCTACATGTAATCATTTAATCAACCCCTAAAGCAGATTTTAAAACGCGACATAGCACCTCGGTGTGACCCTACGGGGTCATTGGATTTGATCCATTTTCAATAGGCTTATTACGAGGCTTATTACTTGTGGCATATACGTCAACTTAGCAAAGTTTAAACCGAATCGGTCCAAGCGTTTGAGAGTTATCGCTTTCACGGACAGACGGACACCATCGATTCCCCTATATAAAGCTTGCATCGCTTTGTTCTGCCGCTTAATAATTGTAAAACTTTTTTATTATATTATTAACCATATAATAAAAAGAAATTGTAAATCAGCATATGCATGATGAAAGCGCATTTTTGGTAATGCAAATCAGTATTTCATTAGCAAAGTTTAAAATTATCGGTCTCACGATCTAACTCAAAATAGCCTAGAGCCTGCACATCTAGACTACATCAGAAACCTTTTAGTGAAAATTTAAAGTCACTAGCAATTGTAATTGCTGAGATCTCAGTCGGACAGCCAGCCAGCCATTACGTAGCGTATTTTTTTCCAAAAATGCGCTAAAAAGTCGTACACGTAGAATTCAAATAGAGGGGGTTTCGTTTAAAGATGTACCTTTTTGGCGCCCTACTTTGTGAACGCACCCGGTATAAGTCAAAATCTTTTTAAAATCTGGAGAAGATCATCCACATCATAATACAAAAGCACTCTATCGAACAATCGTATCTTCAAGGCATTAAGTTACTCCGCATAATCACTCATCCTGTACCAGACGGAAAATACTATTTATTCATTAATTTGATTTTAGCATGTCCAAAAAACAGTGATCCCAATTAATAGCGATTTTGCTCGAGCTAGGAAGCTAGAAAGGTTATATTGAAAATTTGGGTGAAACAACTCAATTTGAAAAAAGTGTCCGTAACTTTTACAGCCATACCTAGAGATTTACCGCGCATTGTTTAGTTCCCAACCTTGACTTTTTTCATTAATTACAAGATAATCCTCTCTTATAATTTAGACGGATGGGTTTGTGAATAATTTTACGAATTGTTATTAATTCGTTAGGGAACAAAAATTCAATACCTAATAGTTATTTACATAAAAGTCAGGAAATATTGAAGTACGAGGCCCTTTTGGGACAGAGAACTTTGATTTCCGCAAGTATTTTGATTTCCGCATGTATCATATACATGCGATCATATACAGTTGGGATCACATATCAGCCAATAAGAACATTCGTTATTGCCTTGCGTCAGGTGAAATTTAATTAGTTTCAAGATAAGTAGGTATGTGTTATCGCTGATTAGTAAAAACTGTAAGTAATCAATATTTCTATATTTCATTGTCTGTGGAACGCCTGACTGCGTGGTATGTGTAAAAAACATGTCTTTCAGTTTTGTCAATTTGTATGTAACCCGAATAAATGTTATTTTTTTTGTCAATGAACAAATCATTCCTGGGAATTGTTCAAAATCATCAAGACTCCTGAGATTCCTATATTAATAAAGTTGAATCTTAAAGACAAAACGCCAACGATTGCCGGATCTTGTAAACGAGTCTATCGAGTGCTTAAATGAAACAGAAAATGCATTTTCAGAATCGGGACCTATGCAGTAAATTTGCCCCGGGATACTCGCTATGGTAATGCGCGTTGGAATACTCCCCAAAATATAGCTCATTTTTTTAAATTAAAAAACCCGATGGCATATAATTTGGTGTATAAGTGGCAAACGAAAATAGAGCAATGGTTTATTGTCACTACTCGATTTGATATTGTGCATTGGCAATGTAGGCCAAAAAAAGGAAGGTTCTTTTGACCTCTCCGTTAGTTCTGAACCGATTTGCATGAAATTCAAACTGAGCATAGCTTTCACGGTATGATACGCAATGCCTAATCGAATCAACATTTCCAGTGTGGGGTACCGACAAAAGAAATGCGGTAGCCTCTGATAATATCTTACTGATGGTGGAAGTCCTTTCGATCTTACACGAGGACCGAGACGAGGACTTTAATAATTTTTGTCATCTCGGTCACTTATGAATCGAATTGCTTAACTCGTGCATGTTCTAGTGTTAGCATATATTTTCAAATGATGTCTTTATCAAAGAACAAGTCCCGCCAGGGTGCCGGCCTCCGCTAACAACTCGACGCTAACCAAGATGTCGCCCGTAATGCGACTTTCGGTTCTCAAGATGTCTGTAATGAGAAAGGTCGGCTTCCAGGCTTTTCAAATCGATGCGTATTAAAATTATTTTTCTAAGCGATTCGGTACAGTGCTCTAGTGCCAGTTACATATCAAAACTTCTAGGAAAATTTGCATTTATTTAAATTTAGAATTGTTGAACAGACATTAAACATTAAATTTAACATAAGTAGGCAAACAGTAATTGAATCGCGCAAGGTTACAATACTTCACTGTTAACCTCGTTTTTAGCGGCATAGTATCATTGGAATATCAAATAGGTACCTACCCCATTTTGTAAAGATCTTGGATTTACTCGTGATTTTCACGCTGTTTCATCATAATATTGGAGTTCATTTCGGAGGCACTTGATTTATATTTGTAGCAATTACTGGAAAATATGAAAGGGCCTTTGTTACCATTCCGAACGTCTCTATACAGCGGTGGTGAAAAATGGAATTCATTCATTCATTCAAGAAGACCTTGTCCTTGGCAAATTCACACGTTTTGTTGGGATAAGAATAGTACTTAAAATAGTACCTGCTCTGCTATTAAAACGATCCGAGTATGTGTCAAAGGATTAACGTGGCGTGCGCCCAACTATTTGGCAACTATTACAGACACTTTGGTGTGTTTATATTAACAAGTCATTATAAATTCTTTTGTAT